TTTTTTTTTTTTTTTTTTTGATAGGGATGTCGCTGAACTTTCAAAAGTTTCCTAGAGGTTTATATGACATTAGGCAATGGGCAGAAAATTTCACTTCCTTTGGAGCATTACCTGTTCCGGTATTTATCTTTACATTTTTTCCCTCCTCATCCCTCCCTCTCCAATGAATTGTTACGGATATATGTGACCGTCTGTAGTTTGTAGTAAAATTTACATTAGTGGTATATCCCTTCTCTTCCCATCAACCACCTCTGCAGCATACGAAGGTTAGTGATGCATATTGTCTGAGAATTTGTGCTTTGTGGTTTATTAGTTGTGAATTCTTTGTACTGAAGTTAATAAGTAATTACCTTCTTTCTTGCGTTAATGACACTCCTTCTCGTGTAATGGTTTCAAGATTATGTTACCAGATGACTTTTAATTTACGCAGTATTTCTGTACTATTCTGCTGTACATTCTTGTGTTATATGTATTTCTATGTTCAATGTATAGGGGAATTCAAGGTTGGAGTCATAACATTTAATATGATGCTTCATGTCAACAAATCCTCCGTGAAGCTTAATATCACTGAGCTTGCTGAATTGATTGCAAATGAGATTGAAGTTAATGTCTCACAGGTACTAATGAATTTAGAGTTACAAATTTTTGCCATTCATTTTCACTCTTGTCGACTCCCCCAGCACCCCAGTTAGCATATCTAGGTCAATTCTAGATCTCTTTTTGAGTTAGTCTTGAAAAGGGCAGCATTTAATGGTGTGAGCTTTAACTTTGTTGAAAAGAATGGGGGAAAGTTAAAATACGCGCACTTGACCTTAAGAAGAATGCATATACTTGACTTCATTCAGAAATACTTACACAGTTGTTGCTATATCTATAAGCTATTGCTTGTTACTTTTAGTGTCTGCTTATTAGTGCCAAATGTCTGATCTTAGGTTCATGTGCTGAACTTTACATCGGGGGAAACTGATTTCTTCATTAGATGGGCCATCTTCCCCACTGATACTGTGGCTATATTTCTAATTCCACGGCAATGGTGATAAGATGGGCCATCTTCCCCGCTAATAACTACTAATAAGTTTTGTATCTGTTATGTGTTGTCTTATATGGTGTTATTTTTTCTGCCCATTAAGTTATAATAGAACTTAAAAAATACTATTGAGCACATTAGTATGTCATGTTCACATTCTTATCCTCTACTTATTTCTGCCTTCAGCTTGGACTAATTTTCCCTTCTATGTTGGTCCATCGTGTAATTTCTTCCCGTGTATGGGTTTATACAGGTCATAATGATGATTATTGGAGTAGCGTTACCTTAGTCGTTGGATTGGCAGTCGTAAGCTCATGGTTGATTTGGAGATACACTCGAAGGGAGCTTTCTTACGAGCTTGTTGTTGCTGTCGGACCCGAGCAAGAGCTTGCAGCCACTATAGATCCCATTTCTCTTGGATGGAATTGTGACTCTGTTTATCAGGTCTATTGTTTTGATTATTGAAAATATATGATTTGGTTAGGAATATAGGGATGAAATCTTGTATACTGATAAAGAAAGAGTTGTAGTAAAAGTAAAACCAGAGGAACTAGGAAAAGAAACCACAAGAAACAAAAACATGTGTAGGAAAACATGAATTTTTATTTAGATAGCTTCTGTATTTGAGAAATTGAACCAGGGACAAAGTTGTACCGCCCTGACCTACACCCAGTGGCCATTATCACAGGTAGGGCTCTCATTTTTTTAAATATTCATTTGACTTGTGAGGTGATGGACAGTGCACAAGGTAAAACTATACGAATCATTTGTGTGTTAAAAAAACACCATTTAATATGTCATTTTTAAGGTTGTACAATCCGCAGTCAAAATTGAAGGATTGCTTACAGGTTTAAACATTAAATTCGATGGCAGAGGGGAGTTTCCCAACTCAGAACTTGGAGACCTCACCTGGGGCTTCAGGGACAAATTTCAATCCATGCATGTCCTCAGATCCAGTGTGAAGCGGCCCCAATTTTGTCCACGGTACGAATTACAAACTCACAATCTCTCTCTGTAATCATATACAATATTATATAATGTATATGATTGTTGAAGTCACATTTTTACCCCTGGAAGAAGTAGGCTGTAAATAAAGTATAGTAGAGCAGGGCACATGTCGCATGTCGCATGTAGCATGTCACATGTATTTGAATAAGGTAAACGGGGGTTCTGTCTTTTTGCATTGTTGTAAAGAAAAAGGCAAAAAAAGAAGAAAGAATCAAATGGAATGGTATTTTTGGGGTAGGGGGAAACTGTTTTTGTCTCATATCCTCCCCAATGATAAAGGCTAACACATCTGAAGTTCTGATAAACAGCAACCAGACGATGAAATCGGGGGGGAGGGGGGCTAAGATCACATGGGGGTTAACTTAACTTACACAATAAAACTCAGAATGGGAGATAATAGCAGAAGAGGAAGGAAGGTGGGTGGTAGTTGCAGGCTGATGGATTCGTTACGATCTCATTGTTTCTTTTTTAAATTACTCAGAAAATACAGGTCAGGGAGATTCCACAGTTGCTGTAGCCTGAAAAGTGCTTTGCTTTTGCATTGCATAGCTTGACGAAAATACCCCCCTCCCCGGCCACCACCCAGTTTCCCAGTTTCCCAGTTTCCCAGTTCCCACCACCTTTAACTAGTAAACTCAGCGGGAGTTGCGGCGGTGCTGATTGGAGTTGTTGAAGGAAGTGTGCAAGTAAGTCGAGGGATGAAGCCAAGTGTAATTCCAAACCAAAACTCCCAACTAGAATTGACAAAATTTTAGTCTTTTCCGTGATTGGCGATGCTTAAAGCATCATCGCCACAAACACCTACTTTTCAACGTAGATATGGGAACCCAACCAGATCGGACTTTATAATATAAATCAAATGTTGAAACCAATTACGAAAAATTATGTATTTTATTCAACGTTTAAAAAATCATGCTAATATCCGCGGGGTGGACCCAGCATTAATCTGCACACTGCCCTATGATCCTTTTTTCTTTTCAATTTTTCCTTGTAAAATTTGGTGTTGTACCGCTCCTCCAACCCTATCTACCCTTTGGATTTGGATTCTTCTTCTTCGTCATTTCCCAAGATTCCCGCCGTTAGATTTCGCCGCCCGGAGATCAGTGTAGCCTCTTTTTTTTCTTCGGCTGCAGTGTAGAAGGCTACAAAACAGCCCTAGTGGTGAACGAGGAACGATTGAAGAGAGAAGAGGAGGACGACCCAGATCCTAATTATTTAAAATACCCTGAGGCTGGATACAGTTTTGCTTGTCTACCACCAATAATATATAACTCCAATTCTTTATCATTATTAACCCTTTGAATCCCCTTGTTTTCTTCTGCGAGACGCCATTCTCTCTCTCTCTTTCTCTCTCCCTCCCTTGGATTTGTAGCTGTTCAGTAGTGAGCTTTGTACTGCTTTTTCTCTTGAACCTTTCCTGCTTCTGATTACGATAGTCCTTTCACCATATAGTTGTTGGAGTACTCTTCTTGTTTGTGCTTCACTTAGCTGTGTCCATAGCTTTGGACCATAGTTTGAAATGGAGCGAAAACAAGGCTTCTTCTCGGCGCTGAAGGGGGAAATAGTGAGAGGGCTTTCGCCTGGAAGGTCCAGACCCAAGAGTCCGGCGAGAAGTGCGTCTCCCATGTCTAGTTTACTACGGCGGAGGAAGAGCCACCAAATGCCGCCGCAGCCGAACTTGTTGATTGAGAGATCTGGAAGTTTAAGGCCGGCGGAGGCATTGTCGCCGTTGAAGGAAGGACCCGACAATAACGACGGCAGAGAATCGAAGGAGGGGAAATGGGGGAACTGGATGAGGGGTCAGCTTTGTCGAGCACCTTCGGCTGTTTCGTGCTCTGCTCAGAAACGATCTGATCTGAGGCTGCTGCTTGGGGTTTTGGGTGCTCCGTTGGCTCCTGTTCATGTTAGCTCCGCCGAGCCTCTGCCCCACCTCGCCATTAAAGACATCCCCATTGTTAGTCCTAATTTCTCACTCTCTTAGCTAACTTTTTCTACTGTGAAGTCTTGTCTTATTTTATGTTGTGCTGATCTTATCGTGCCCCCCAACTTTACTCTTTAATCAAGATCGCTGGATTTTCTATTTCTTCAAGAAAATATTGTCGTAGAGTACACTGTGAGAGATCTTAGTTTCGTGTTGTTTGAACAAGATAAGATGTATGGTTGGTTCCTGGATGCTGAGTTTATCAGGATGAATTTTGGGTTGTAAAATTTTGAGGGGTTGTTTTCTTGCAGGAGAATTCATCTGCTCAGTATATATTGCAGCAGTACACAGCAGCTTCGGGAGGGCAAAAGCTTCAAAACTCTGTCAGCAATGCCTATGCCATGGGAAAGGTGAAAATGATAGCATGTGAATTTGAAACAGCTAACAAAGTGGTCAGGACCCGGAATTCCTCCAAAGATGCAGAGTCAGGCGGCTTTGTTTTGTGGCAGATGAAGCCAGATATGTGGTATGTTGAGCTTGCTCTGGGTGGTAGCAAAGTTCATGCTGGTTGCAATGGGAAGCTGGTGTGGAGGCACACACCTTGGCTCGGCGCTCATGCTGCCAAAGGGCCTGTTAGACCGCTTCGCCGTGCCCTTCAGGTGACACAGCTCAACTTGACAGATCTCACTCTATATTGTTGAATCTGGCTCTCTCATTTTAGATTCGTTTACCAAGTTCATTATGTGCTGCAGGGACTTGATCCAAAAACTACTGCAAGCATGTTTGCTAATGCAAGATGCATTGGAGAGAAGAGTGTTAATGGTGAAGATTGTTTCATCCTCAAGCTCTGTACAGATCCTTCAACATTGAAGGCAAGAAGTGAAGGACCTGCAGAGATAATCAGACACACTATGTTCGGATACTTCAGCCAGAAATCAGGACTCCTTATACATTTAGAAGATTCACATTTAACCCGCATCCAAAACAATGGGGGCGATGCTGTCTATTGGGAGACCACGATCAATTCATTCCTCGATGATTATCGACCAGTAGAGGGGATCATGATTGCTCACTCTGGTCGATCTGTAGTAACCCTTTTCAGATTTGGGGAAACAGCCATGAGCCACACAAAAACGAGGATGGAAGAAGCTTGGACTATTGAGGAAGTAGCATTTAATGTCCCTGGTCTGTCTATTGATTGTTTCATTCCCCCTGCTGAACTTAGATATGCTTCCATGAGCGAGGCCTGCGACCTACCTCGTGGTCATGGCTTCAAGAATGCTATGGCAGCAGCAGCTCATCGGGCCAAAGTCGCCGCACTCGAGAAGAATCACGATGGGAAGGTGAAAGTTATCTGGAAACCAGATATCTGAACCAGCAACTACACTGCTTTGCAAGGTAAGTGCATTATTAACAGTACTAACTATTTAGAAGAGGATTCAAATCCAATGTAGTAGAACTTGTGGTCTATTTTACGCGGCAATTGTAAATAGATCAATAGTCATTCTCACACATTTTGTCTGGTGATTGAGCGACTCGCTCTCTCCCGACTCGGGTTTTATATTCAGCCTCCTTGTTTTTTAAACCCAAGAAAAAGAGATCCCTTTCGATCATCACCATTGTTCTTGCTCTTGCAATGTTAAGAGTATAGAGTATCAGTGAATGTAAATGATCTCGTGCTCTTGTTTTTTCAAGGAATATACTGAAAGTCCAACCTTACAGAAGGGAGCATGATATGTCTAAGTTTTCAATCTGAAATAATGGGAATATTTTGTTTATCAAGATTATGCTACAAGTTGTTTCAGGTTGAAGGAATTTATGTTTCTAATGATCTTCATGTCTCTTACCTCTTATGTTTTCTTGTGATGCCTCTCTCAAAATTCTTTATAAACTTTGCATTTTGTGGAAGATATGTATCTGATTCAATCAACAAATACAGAGCTATCAAATAATCTCTTTTTAAAACCATTTTAGTTTCAAAAAAATGTTAAATTATAAATTTAGTCCCAGAGTTTTCTAGTTTGTATGGTGTTTAATGCATTTAGTATATTTATTCATTTTCAATAATTAATCAATCAATTTATTTCTACTAATTGATATTAATTTTTATTAATTCACTAATATTGTTACTATTAATTTCAAAATCTAACTCGACCACCCATTATGAAATAAATAATTATTCAATTAATTACAATTAATATTAATTAAATATAAAATTTTGTTCCTAATTATTATAATTAATTATTCAGGGGATATTTAAATTAACTAACTATTAATTATTCTTTTTCAAAATTAAATTAACTTTCGTAATTATATAAGACAAACAAATTTCAACAATTTTTTTTTTAATGTTTGAGACATTCTTGATATTGAAATATTTATTAATTAATTAAACTATATTATTTTTCTTAATTTCAACAATTTTGGGTGAAGATTTTATTTTATTTTATATGTAATGTCAATCAACTTTAACTTTTATCCTATGCTTAAAAGCTTTATTAATTTTAAATGATATAAAATATAGTATGTCTAATAAATTTAGGGTTGGATTAAAAAAAAAAAAAAAAAAAAGGAAGTAATGACCTTCCATAAACATTCGTTTCTGATATTGGTAGATGGTTACATAGGAAAATCCAGTCGGGAGTCCAGCGGTTCGGGTTGAATGTTTATCCTTTCACAGCTCGCGTCATGGTTGGCGTTTCCTCTGTAATCCACAAGACAACAACGATCTGTAACATCATCACCTTATAGCCCTTTCAACACACGATTCAATTCCACTTCAATCTCTGTTTCGCATCTTCCCCTCCTCCCTAAATCCCCAAAACCTATCTCCGATTCCCCGACGGAAAATGAGCTGGTGGTGGGCCGGAGCAATCGGCGCTGCTAAGGTAATTAAAACCCCTAACTCCCTATCTATGCCCCTGTTTCTATTACGTTTCTCTAATCAGCATCTCCGTTCCCAATTTTGCAGAAGAAATTTGAAGAAGATGAACAACCGAGGAGCTTTGAGAGCGTAGCATTGGTGATCGGCGTTACAGGCATCGTCGGCAACAGCCTTGCCGAGATTCTCCCTCTTTCCGACACCCCCGGCGGTCCGTGGAAGGTGTACGGCGTCGCTCGGAGGCCGAGGCCAAACTGGAACGCCGACCATCCCATCGAATACATCCAATGCGATGTCTCCGATCCGGAAGACGCCGAAGCCAAACTCTCGAAGCTCACTGATGTGACTCATGTGTTCTATGTCACATGGACCAATCTACCCACAGAGATCGAGAACTGTGAGGTCAACGGAAAAATGCTTCGCAACGTGTTGCGATCGGTGATTCCGAACGCGCCAAATCTCCGCCATATCTGCCTTCAAACAGGTACGAAGCACTACATCGGATCGTTCGAGAACATCATCGATCATCCGACGCAGCGGCACGATCCGCCTTTCACGGAGGACATGCCTCGATTGGACTCCCCAAATTTCTATTACACTCAAGAAGATTTGTTGTTCGAAGAGATCGAAAAGAGTCAGAAAAAGGATCTGACATGGGCGGTGATCCGACCCAACACGATCTTCGGGTTTTCCCCTTTCAGCTTGATGAACATCGTCGGAACCCTATGCACGTACGCCGCCATATGCAAGCACGAGGGACGTCCGTTGAAATTCCCCGGCACGAAATCAGCTTGGGAGGGTTACTCAGTGGTCTCCGACGCAGATCTGATAGCGGAGCAGCACATATGGACGGCGGTAGATCCATACGCAAAGAACGAGGCGTTTAACTGCAGCAATGGCGATGTATTCAAGTGGAAACACTTCTGGAAGGTTTTGGCGGAGCAGTTCAACATCGAGGATTATGGGTTCGAAGAGGGTGAGAGATTGCCGCTGGGAGAGTTGATGAAGGGGAAAAATGCAGTCTGGGAAGAAATTGTGAAGGAGAATCAGTTGCAACCAACAAAATTGGAGGATGTTGCTAATTGGTGGCATACAGATATAGCTTTGAGCGCTTCTGGTAACATAGATAGTATGAACAAGAGCAAGGAGCATGGATTCTTGGGCTTCAGAAACTCCAAGAACTCCTTCATTTCTTGGATCGACAAGGTTAAGGCTTTCAAAATCGTGCCCTGATTGCCGAGTAATGTCCATAATTATCAATCTTCTCGTACTGATTTTCATTTCTGGAATCTGTTTGGTTTGGGTTGCTATGGTTTTACAATAAATGTTGGCTTGTTTATATAGTTTCTTGGTATCTTAGTGACGAGTTCTTGGTAATTCATAGTGTTCCAGCTAGGGAATGATTTCAGTTTGTTTTATGCTTTTCACTCAATAAGTAATAATCTTTAGAACGTTGTTACATTACTGGCTGTCTAATTGTTCGATTCTTGTCACAAACCACAGTTTCCTCTTCAATGTTCTTCAGCTCATTGAGATTGATGATTACTTCCTCTGTGGAAACTTGAATTAGCCATGGCAGGACTCGTCTGCGTACTTCCTGTCAAAAACACTAAGGGGGTTTGTAGCCGTTCCCTCGTTGGGTCGGTACGAAGTCATTGATAAGCTTTTGCCCTAATAGTCCACGCTTACCGCTTACCGCTAGCCTATATTGTCCTCTTTAGACTTTTCCTTCGGTTCTTCCTTTCAAGATTTTGAAACTCGTTCACTAGGGAAGTTTCCACACCCTTATAAAAAATATTTCGTTCCTCTCCTCAATTGACGTGTGATCTCACATCCACGTACAAAACTGAGCTCTTGACATAGCCTTGAGTTTTCTGATCGATCCTCGATGACGGTGATATTTCTGGGAATAGAATTTGAGAGCAGATCTTTTTTATCCCGTTTTAGATGGGACCAGACATATCACTTTTTTTTGGGTATTTAACGGTGTTGGATGACAAAAGTCCGCTAATTTAGGAAATGATCATGAGTTTATAAAAGAATACTCTCCCCATTGAAATGAGGCCTCTTGGGAAGCTTCAAAAAATACTCTTTCCAGTCGAATGAGGCTTCAAAAAATACTCTCTCCATTCGAATGAGACCTTTTGGAAAGCCTAGACTTTTGGAGCTTAGGCTCAAAGTGGACACTATCATACTATTGTGGAGAGTCGTAGTCGTATTCATCTAATAAACCGGACCTACTTGTAGATCCTAAAATATAAATATATATAAAAAAAAAATTAAATCACAAACTTTATTTTAAATTATTTAATGCGTATACTCATATATATATGGTAGACATTTAGGGAATAAATAAAAAATAATATATTCAGTAAGCTTCCAGAGTGAGTGCCACGTAGTTGCATTTTTCCTGAGTACACGAGAACTACCCGGGACCCACTCTACAAAATCAAGCGCGAACGCTTAGAAGGAGCTTAAGAATCACGCGCCCTCCAATTTTAACGCCAAAGGCCTGAATTCACGAAGGTAACGGGGAGGAGAGTACGTGTGATCCACGAAGCAATAGAGGGTGTGTAATTTTGAAAAGAATTTGAATGGCCAATGAAAAGTTGCCACGTCGTGAGAGAAAGGCCAAAGTCGGAATTAAAGAGACCGTCAGGATCCATCAAACCAACGGTCGCATTGGAATCCGTGAGTGGTCGATCTCGAGAAACAAGTCTTGCCACTGGTAGATGAGATTGGCCGGAACGCGGTTGATGCTTCGAATTACGTTCCATTGTTGCCGACGATTCTCTTTTGAGGTGGGAGACGAGAGCAGTTTCGCTGAAGTAATTGGCTTCTACTTCCTCAGAATCTTTCAATCTGTTTCCATTTTTATATTTCTCTTGATTTTGTTTTCGGTGTTTAGAATTTTGAAGCAAATCCGTCTGGTTTTCGTTCGTGTTTCAAGTGATTTTTCTGTTGCTTCAGATTTGAGATCCTAGCGTCTCTTCTCTCGCTGGAGCACTCGAAAATGGAATGGTGGATCAAGGTAGCTTCTCCCCTGCGAAGGTTTACCTCCCGCGTCGCCTCTCGTCTCGGATATCGCAAACGCGGTGCGTGATTTCTTCACTGAATCGTTTTATATAATTCGAATTCTCAATGAAATTGAACTGATTCTGTTGTTTGGTCTGTTTTCCTAAAAACACTTGAGAAATTGAAATTCATGCTTGGGGATGTTGAAATGGATTAGGGCTTCTGAAACTAGGGCGAGATGTGAAGGCGTGCGAATACGAGGACGTGCACGTGATGTGGGAGATGCTGAAGAGAAACGAAACGGAGGCAGTCGGAATCCCGGAAGGACGACGTCGAAAGAAGAGACCAATCTGGAATATCTTTTGGTGGGCTCGATCTGCTCCATGCATTGGCTGCAGATTCTGAACAATCATCTCACGGTCAGCACATTTTTCTTGGTAAATCCAAGACGAACACCATGAATTTGGGTCATATTTGTTGTAAATCAATCAGGCAACAATAAAAGAGACTGAAAATTGATAAAATGGATTTTGGTGTTTGTCTCTTATAATTTCATCTCATGCTTTTATATGATTTGTTTAGCCATTGCCTCCATTCCTTCTTCCTCTCGCCTTCTTGATCTCTACCCCTAACCAGAGCTGACATGAACAATTGATTCAAGCATACGGATTGGGAGAGATTCAATCATTTCCACCTTATTTTTCGTTTTCATACTTTTATTTTCTAAAGTATTTAAATTCTTAATAATTATAATATTAATATTGATTTTGTATGTTGTTTTATTATAATAATTTTGTCATTTACAAGGGTTATTGATTGAATTGAACGTTTGGGATGATGGTTTTTCTGCAACTATTTTATATATATCAAATGTAATTAAATTTAGAGACTATTTTATATTTTATACATTATGGTATATATATATATATATATTTGTATCATGTCTTATTCGATGTTTTAATCGAAAAAAATGAAATTGAACTCCGTGCCTGTAGCAATGGAAATGATTTAACAGCGAAACGTGGCCGCCGGCTCGCATTCCGAGCTGTGTCGTTCATTTAAATTTGTTTGTCGTTCATCGCAGAGACATTAACTCCATACATTCTGTATCCGGCCGACCACCCTGCCACATGACATTCTTCCAATTTTAAAAGATTTTCCTGCTTTTAATCTCATCTCCATTGTTCTTCCGACAACCACTTTCCATTTGAAGGCCTTCTCCCACAAAAATACTCTCTTCTCAATTTGGAGTTTTGGTTACTTGGTCGACTCATCTTCTTGTCGGTTGCGGCGGCTATAAGAGGACATTATGAAGCTTTGTAGGCTCTTGGTTATGCTTTTTGTGCTCCACACTTCTCTATTGCTGCTCTTCTTTTCCAGCAGTATCTGTTCCTCCTCAAGTTCAGGTAATTCTCTTCTTTACTTCTCTGTTTGTTTCAACTTTACTCACTTTCACTTCTTGTTCTTATTATGTTTTACTGTAGAAGGCTTAGATTAGAATCCCCTGTTCAGCGTTCTGTTCTATCCAAAAATGCTGTGATGTTGCCTTCAATCTGTCCTTCCGTCGGTATCACCTTCATAATATGATTCTTATCTGAATCACTATGTTCTTGGTGACATTTTTACATTGATGGTATTGTTATGCCCAATTATACATTCAAGTAGAATTAGCCTTGTCTTCCATTTGGTTTGCCACTGCCCATCACCATTTTAGACTCTTCCTTTGAATTCAGAACTTTTTATCTCTTTCTTCCTCATGTATTGAACTTGTAAATCGGCCTATGAACCGAATCAATTTACATGTAACAGTCAAAACCCATCGGTAGCAGATATTGTTCTCTTTAGACTTTTTATTTCGAGTTTTCGTGTCTGGTAGAAAAATGTTTCCACCCACTTTTGGGTTCTCACCATACATGTTTGAATTATTGGTTTCATTATTGAGCGTGAGTGGTATACATTTTCAAAATATGTAATTTCCCATGCTGCTGATACACCTTCCCTGACTGCACAATTGCAGATATGACACCAAACCAACCCCATGTAGTGTCAAATGAATGCCTGTCAGCCACACCATCAAACAGGAAGTTGAAAGTATGTACTTGCTCTGTAAAGGGTTGAAATCCTACCAACATATCTCTTACTTAGAGAAGAACAACATGGATTCTTCCCAAGTAAAAGCTGCATTACTCACAATATTCATATGCAACTGTTCATGATTGAATTCTGTTTTTGAATTTCAGTTGGAGGATAACGATGATAGTAGCCCGGGGAGGAAGAATGTTCGTGTCGATAACGTAAATCTTTACGACTACAGTCCCATCGATCCAGTTCCAAGCTCAAAGAGATCCATAAAACATGGACCAATTGAGCATCGCTCTCCTCTTATACCTTATATGCCAAATCCTTCTCCTCCAGATCAACCTCAGCCGGGTGGTTTTGTGTAGACAGCAGAGACATATGTTTCTATCAGCAAACCGGCCATGTTAACCTGTAAATCGTCTTTCGTCTACGTCGTAAATAGTTGCGCCTCATGTGACACCGCAGGAGAATGAAGTATTGGAATGATGGGTTAGAAGATGTATGTATGTGTAGATCTTGCTCCATATAGTTGAAGAGTCTATAGATGATTTGTTTTGTGTATTTAACACTTGTTTTAGTTGTTTAATATATCTATATGGGTGAGGCCTTTTTTGTTGGATAAGTTCTTTTTGCACGTATTTCGAAATAAAAATTTAACAGCTCAAGTCTATCGTGAGCCGATATTGGCTATTTTAGCTCGTCTGCTAGGGACGGTTGTTAAACTATTAGGGTGAGTTTTCCACACCCTTATAAGATATGCTTCTTTCCCCTCTCCCATTGATGTAGAATCTTATCATCTATCTCGCTGGAGCCGAGTTGATACACCACCCAGTGACTAATTTTGATACCAAGTCATCTTGTGATAATCATACTCTAGATTCAAATTAGACACAAGTTTTAATTGTTCGGGTCATCATGCACAATATTTCTAAATTCACTCATTTAAAAAAATCCTCAATATTTGCATCAAATTAGTTCAATCAATACAAAAACTTTATTATCTAAATAAATCGATCAAACACTCATAAATAAATTTTTAAAAAAATCCATAGTTTTGAATCAAATTTTTTCTAAATGTCATTATATATAAAAATAATAATAAACAAATAAATAAATAGAGAAGAAAGAAAGAGAGAAAATATAGAGAAAAACGACAAAAAAAAAAGAAAAAAAGAAAAACGTGGAGGTGCGGGGAATCGAACCCCGTGCCTCTCGCATGCGAAGCGAGCGCTCTACCATATGAGCTACACCCCCATTTGATGATGCGTCTGATTGTTTTTATTTTTTAATTAATTTTAATTGTTCTTTCCCGAAGGCTCGCATTCCAAGTCTCTGCCACGCCTATTTTAAATTTGTAAATTGGACACTTTTCTCTGCAAACGCGAAGCAGACATTTACTCCTCCACAGCCGGAACCCAATGCAGATGATATGGTGATAAAACAAAACATTTAAGTTCTCCTCTTTTCTTTTTCTTTTATTGTTCCTCTTCTGTTCCAATTAAATGCCATTCCATATTTCCACCCTCGTTTTAAAGCCCTCATGAGTACTCATGGACGACCCCCTTCCAACATTTCTCCCGCTAACACTCCTTGCACAACAGGGTGTGTGTGTGTGTCTGTGTGTGTGTGTTTCGGAGCTCTTCGATTCATCCTGGGTCTTGTCCGTTATGAATCTTTCTGGGTTCTGGGTTGTGTTTTTGCTGCTCCAATTAACTTCATTCTTGCCTTTCTTTCCCAGCTATATAAATGCCTCCTCCGCCTCCGGTAATTTACTCTGTTCCTATCCCCTGTTCTTCTCTGTTCTTCTCTGTTCTTCTCTGTTCTACTCTGTTCTTACTGTAACTTTGCATGTTCATTTTGGTGTGCTTTCCTTCACTGGAATTGCAGATATGGCTGTGAACCACCACCATGTTAACCCAAATGGATGCTCGTCCGACATGCCATTAAACAGGAAGCTGAAGGTACTTGCTTTTTAAATAACCCTTCAATTCCCACAATTGTTCTCTACTGAATGGAATTGAAATCCGTTTCTTTGTTCTCAGTTCCAGGCTGCTGATGAACATAACAAAAAGAAGGGTCACCCAAGTGATGTAAATCTCGATGACTACCATCCCATTGATCCTGTTCCAAGTTCAAAGACATCGGTAAAACCTGGGCCCATAGAGCACGGCGTTCCTCTCCTTCCTCATATGCCAAATCCTCCTCCTCCCGCTGAGCCGGGCGATTATGCTTAGACAGCTCAAACACATTTATCGTCTCTACTGATTGTCTGTCTTGAATAATCCATGTTTGTTTCTCATGGTGCTGTCTTAATAAGTTGTCTGGAGCGTCGTTGTCCAGACGATGTACTAGAATGTTAGGCATTATATTTATGTTCTTTTCTCTTTGATTTGATCCTTCTTCGGCTCAAATATAATAAGGATGAAGATATAAAGCAACATAGTCGGTTTAAAAGGTGTCCCTATGTGCAATCCCACGTTGGTTGGACAGAGGAACGAAACATTCCTTAAAAAGGTATAGAAATCTCTCCCCACCAGACGTATTTTAAAAGTTAAAATTGTGCCCAAACAGGTAGCGATAGGCTTGAGCTGTTACAAATAGTAATAGATCTAGATTTCAGACGGTCTGTGACTGAGGACATTGAGCTTCCGAGGTGGGTTGTGAGATCTCATATCGGTTCGAGAGTAGAACGAAACAATTCTTATAAAGGTATGGAAATCTCTTTCTAGTAGTTACGATTTTTAAATTGTGAGGCTGACGGCCTATATAACAAACCAAAAAATCTCGACAGCTAACCGTGACATGTTCTATCTTAAAAAATGATATCATTTATGAAGTATAACGATGAAATAATGGAGCGGAACGTGACAAAATTGAAGTTTGATGGAGTGAATTTAATGCAACATATGGGTCTCCCGACCGTTAATTTAGTTTGGTAAATTCTTTGTCAATTTCCCACACTACCCTTCTCCCAATACGTAGTCGTTTTAACGCACGCGCGCCGCGAGTACAATTTCCGAACGGAGTGGTAGATTGCCTAAATTCTGTCCTAATTACCGCCTTAATTTCTTCTCCTTAACCCTCTCTCGCTCTCTCTGCAACTACGAATCTCTCTATCTTTTTCTCTCTCTTCTTCATAGCTCGCGTGGAAGTTCCTTCGCGCTCTTGTTTATGGCGGAATCGTTGACAGATTGTTTATTACCCAAGGTGATGGTCATCATTTTTCTACTGTTTCCATTTTCGATAAAATCTGGAGTTCTAAAATCTTGCTAGTTGTTCGTTAAATTTATTTCCATCGTCTGTCGTGACAAGCGTGGTTCAAGGTACTCTAGAATGTATACGGGATGATGATGCTTGCACATTTGATATTTTGAAAGCATAGCATGTTTGATTAGAAGAAGAATCCAGTGAAAGAACTGAGAATTGTGGATTGTTCTTTTAAGCTTTATCCTATAAAAGGTTTCACTAGAAGGAAAGAGGAGATAAAAACTCTACCTAAATGTTTGCCCTAAGGAGACGATAGAAGATTCTCCAGAAGAGTATAAGTAAGAAGTTTCCTTGGCATATCTATACTTCTTCAAAATTTTAGTTCATAGCACTAGCTTTAACAGCATTACACTAATGGATCCTTGCTTTCCCCCAAATTGGAAAACCAGTCAGCAGTCGATGAACGTCAGAATGCATTGTGTAGTGCACCAAGAAAGATGGGCTACATAATTAGATGCTCCGCATTTAAGAACGCTAATATTAGGTTGGAGATCAATATGGTCTTTTACAGACAGGGAGTTGGTGAATACCTTAGGATATTGTGGAACTGATTCGCATAGAATGTGCTGATAGCTTAAAAACAAACTTTTGAATTTGTTTCCGTTGTATGGTCGTCCTATGGATCTCATGAATAAAAATGGTTCTTAGGACTGGATTTGTTTATTTGTTTGCAGTTGTTTCAGTTGAACAAAATTTTGTTTTCTCAAGAGTATGCACCTTCCTTTTTCTAAGCAGGGTTGTCTTGCACTTTTGATAATTCCCTCACCAGTGGTTGATCTGACTACTACATTTAACGAATGAAGTATTTGACATTTCTTAAGGGGGGAAATTGAAGTGACTCGCTCAATCGATTGCTTACAACAAACCCTGTTTAGAATAAGGAAGGTGCATACTCTTGAGAAACCAAGTTCATCTCTAATTATGTACCTTTACTTTGTATGATTCTCCAATTGTCTGGTGTAGCTTTATGAGTTTGGGTCGATTTGCATGAATTAACCAGCATTGTACTGTCGGGCATTAAAAGGTCCATGTGAGATCCCGCATCGGTTGATGAGGAGACCGAAACATTCTTTATAAGGGTGTGGAAACCTCTCCCTAATACACTCGTTTTAAAAATTTTGAAGGGAAGTCCGAAAGGAAAAGTGCAAAGAGGACAATATCTGATAGCAGTGGGCTTAGGCGTTACAGTTCATTTGTCCAAGCTTCTAGATTTGGTCGATGGATCTTGCTTTGTTGATGTAGAGAAGGAATTTTTCTTGTTTTAGTCTGTTGACGAGTGCACCTAGCTCTGGAAAAACACCCAATTATACCCATATATCTACACCATAGGGAACGTTCTATTTTCCTTTTATTTTCTCATATTTGTGGAACAGGAATTTCTGTACCATTTACTATTTGGAAATTTTACTCGACATTCAAGGAGTTCCTATTACTACGTGAAATTTAGTTTAATGTTCGCAGTCAGCTTTTTTATGCTTGTGAAGAAAATGGATAGAGGAACTTGGATTTATAGCGGAGATACGTACCTTCAACCTGTCAACTTTTACAACTTACATGTAAAAGCTGTTCACTGTTCACTGTCTGATAGCTAACTCTATAGCAGAAGATCAAGCCCTTTCCTTTTAAGGATATTCTGGTTTTTGGGTTTCGCGAAGCAGAAGAGTGTCCATATATTCGATTGCGCTTTGGTTTGTTTACAGGAAAATTGTGTATTGTATATGTGCGTGTATATGTAGCAGCAGGGATTGTCCTTGATGTGAAATTAATTTGTGTACAGGTCCAAAATATGCATTGGTGTGCTCTTTTTATCGTGCTGTCGTGTCTGGTTTCTTCATATGGTTATCTGCTCTTCCTCACATTTTCTAAACTTCAAATCAATATGATTATGGAATTTTGAATGAAATTCCTAAAAGAACGGAATGGCATCTGTTTCTTTGCCTGAATTCTCGCTCACTCCAAAACAAAATGTGATTGAGTGGGAATCAAGAATCGAATTTTATGATGATAAGTTTGCATAGGTGGTCAAAAAAGTGGATATGACCTCGTGCAATGCTATGAGTCATGTGTAGAGGGTGAAGTGTATGCGGTAGTACTTCACATCAATGAAAGCGACACGACATCACATTTAGCTAACTATATTCAGAAGGATTTAGATTCCGAGTGGAAATCTCATCATAATTCTTAAATGTGATTGGAATGGAATCTTGAGACTGCGACTAGGGGCATGATTTTCTCTTCTGCTCTGTAACTTGTGTTGTTGTGTTAGTGTTAGTGTAAGACCCCCTGTTAAGGATATTTAGTAATAAATTATAGTTTACCATATATATTATATTTGATATTTTATTATAAGGCAAA